AAAGCAAGGGTCACATTCCTTCACCTGAAGAACATATGGAACTCAAAACAACTTTCAACCAATATCAAAGTGAGAATCTTCAATACGAACGTCAAGGCAGTTCTACTGTATGGAGCTGAAACTTGGAGAACTACAACAACCACCATCAAGAAGGTACAAGTATTTATAAATAGCTGTCTTCGCAAAATACTCAACATCCATTGGCCGGATACCATCAGCGACATCCTTTTGTGGGAGAGAACAAATCAGCTTCCAGCTGAAGAAATTAGGAAAAGACGATGGAAATGGATAGGACATACATTACGCGAATCATCAAACTGCATCGCGAGACAAGCCCTAACTTGGAATCCTGAAGGGAAGTGGAAAAGAGGAAGGCCTAAGAACACATTACGTCGGATAATATAAGCAGATATGAAAAGGATGAATAGAAACTGGAAGGAGCTGGAAAGGATTGCCCAGGACAGGGTTGGATGGAGAATGCTGGTGAGCGGCCTATGCTCCTTCACGAGGAGTAACAGGCGTAAGTAAGTAATTTAATCTATTAAATTTACTGATAGCCTTACTGTGCTATACGAATGTGTGAACAGAGCAATTTCCCACTTAACTCTTTAATGTCGGTAATCTGATCTTTGAAATATTACAGGTTGTAAGCAGCTAAAGAGAAACAAACAACATACAGTCAATTCATGCTGTTCTGCTCAAATATTTTTTGCACCCTCCAGTTTGCAAGAGTTTTTTCGACCCATAAACCTTTGTCGTATGTTTTAATGCTCCAGAGTTCTAATTAATTACTTGTTTCCCCATTGCTTCGGTTTCGCATTACCTGTGATTGAGTGGCGTCAGTCAGTCAGTCAGTCAGCTACAACGTAGGACCAGGCACATATATGCATCCGTTCAAGTTGCCATGCCTCGTTAACACAACAAAATGGACACCGGATTCATAAAAGTAGTTAATTCAATGGTGGTAATATATAAAGAAAAGATTGCAATAAGGATATAGTACAGGAAGAAAAAATTAGTTAGCAGAAAGAAAGATATGAAGTAATTTTAATCTCTTAGTTTAAGGGAAGACAGAGAGTGTATACACCTGCTCCATTGTGATCGATTCTGAGCCATGTCACCAAGAGTCTCCAACTATTGGTTACGATAGTCACGTGGACCCCAACCAAGTAGTCTGCATCTACCAACATGGCTCAGACTAGAAGTTAGTGACCTCAAGCACTGATGCCACGTTTTGGTTTGGCCGCCCCTAACTTTCTTCCAACCATCCCCAACACCGGTTAGCATTGCACGTCGTGGTAATCGGTGTTCAGGCATACGTAACACGTGGCCCAACAATCTCAGTCGATGAAGATTCACAACCTCATCAACTGATTTACCATCATTCCCTAATACCCTGCGTCTAATCTCACTATTACTTCCCCGGTGATCCCAGTAGACGTGAGCAATATTTCTAAGACATCTGTGGTCAAATACTAGTAGCTTACGAGTGTCTCCTACTCTTAATGGCCATGTTTCACTGCTGTAAATTAAAACAGAACGGACTGCCGCTCAGTATACTCGTTCTTTTATTGATAGACGGATATCTCGCTTTCGCCATAGGTGACGTAAGTTGGCGAAAGCCAAACGAGCTTTTCGAATCCGTGCTGAGATTTCGTCAGACACCAACCCATTAGGGCTGATCAGACTTCCAAGATAAGTGAAGTTGCCAACGCGTTCGACTACTTCACTCCCTATCCTTAGTTCAGGTGTTGACGCAGACCAGTCCTGAAGCAACAACTTGCATTTAGAGGGAGAGAAGCGCATTCCAAGCATTCTGGCATTGTTGCTCAGTGATACCAAAAGACTCGGCATTTTATCAGCGTCTTCAAACAGGATTATATCATCTGCGTATTCTAAGTCGATAGGTGGACCTCCTGGTAGGAGATCAATACCCGAGAATTCAGTCGACGAGAATGTTATTTCCATCAATAGGTCTATAATGAAGTTAAACAAAAATGGAGAAAGTGGACAGCCTTGACGGACATCACTTGAGGTTGCAAAAGCAGACGACAGTTCGCCATAAGCTCTGACTCGACTGGTAGTGTTCGAGTACAGAGCCTTCACAAGGTTTATGTACTTCTGAGGTATGCCTTTCAGTGACAGACACTGACACAGAATCTCGCGGTCTGCGGAGTCAAATGCTGCTTTTAGGTAAAGAAAGACCATCATTGCCGGACGTCGATAAGTATGCCTGTGTTCTAAAACCTGACGAATGGTGAGTGTGTGGTCGATGCAGCCACAACCAGGTCTGAAGCCAGCTTGATTCTCTTGTGTTTGCAGTTCACGAGTCTTAGTTAGGCGTCTGATAATTATCGAGGCTAGTATTTTAGATACTATATTTGTTAAACTAATCCCTCTGTGGTTGTCACAGGATAATTTTAACCCTCTCTTATATATTGGGACGATAAGTGATTGTGACCAGTCAGATGGGATAACGTCCAACTCCCAGATCTTAGCTGAAATATTAGTCAACCTAATCGCTAAAATTGGACCACCATACTTAAAGACCTCTAGAGCCAATCCATTTGGACCAGCTGCAATTCCTCGTTTCAGATTAACTATAGCCTTTTGAACTTCTGCTAGAGTTGGGTGACCTACTTTAATGTTCCATTCAGACTGTCTGGTAATGGAGGGTAGTTGTAGAGTCGCTGAAGGCCAGTTGAACTGTTCTCTGAAATGTTCCGCCCATCGTTCTAAACGTCTGGACTGGGAGCAGATGAGAGTATCGTCTTTTTCCGAAATAGTCTGACTTACACTTGACTTATTAATCCCAGTTTCTTTTATTAGTCTGTAGAGCTGTCTTGTGTTCCCTCTAGCCGCCGCCTTTTCCATCTCTTTTGCTTTCGTTGTCCACCATTGTTCACGGCCGTTCCTTAGACTTTTGGTTAACCTAGATCTGATTTGTTTTCGCTCTTCATCGTGTTCAGAGCCTGATGGGATGAGTTTACGAGAATCCATCAATGCAATAGACCTTGGTTCTTTGTAACCCTGTAGTTTAAATCATTGGTAGATGTCACTACTGTTTCCACAGCAGTTTGTATAGCTTTCCAAGCAACATTTGGGTCAGCCTCGTTTTCAGAACTACCTAATTGTGACCTCAGTTGTTCCTGGAACCTACTTTTGGTTTTCTCGCTACTCAATCCAGTTCTAATGGGTCTTTTCACTGAGGCTTTTTTGCGACCAGTGAGGCGCAAGCAAATGCGTGCCCGTATTAGGGCATGGTCGGAGTCCAAGCAGGTACTCCAGAATGAGCAACAATCTTCTACCGACCCTCTACAACGATGACTGATGGCAATATGAATACTAAAATACCCACTTAAATGCCTTTCTGTTTGATTCAAACTACCTATCTGGGCATTAAAGTCACCTGCTACGAGTACTATGTCTGTGCGTTTAACTTTTTGCAGAAGTTCAGAAAGCTTTCAATAAAAGTCATCTTTCACTTCATCCGGGCTGCAGTCAGCGGGAGCGTAGGCAGAGACGACGAAAAGGCAACGATGTGTGTCCCTATCCTTTCGAGTTCTTACGGAGCCGTTTAGCCGAACAGCACATAAACGACTGTTAACGGGGATCCACTCTAACAGTGCTTGTTCCGCCCTCATGCTTAGTGCTATCCCTACTCCTGCCAGTCTACGAGAACTGGCCGTCGGGTCACCAGATACACGGAGGGTGTACCTCGTTGGCTCTCCGTGTTGCCAAGGTGAGGTCAAGTGAATGACCACACTGGGATCCTGTATGTGTGTTTCAGAGACACAGGATACATCAATGGTACGAGATTCTAGGGTTCTAGCCAGGGAAGCCCGTTGACCGATTTGGCATAGGGTGTGTACGTTGAAGGCTCCAATGTGTAGTATGGAGCGAGGTTTCAGTAGACCTGGGACAGTGTTTTGAGCACTAGAACCGTTGGCTATGGTGACACTTGAGGGGGAAGCCGAAAAAGGAAGTTTAGAGGTGAAAGTTGATGTAGGAGGAATAATAGGAAGTGAAGACGGAGGTTGATTATGAATACAGTGGTCTTGAGTGCTGTTAGAGGTATGAGGGCGGTTATCACTTCCTGGTTGCCCACACCGTGGAAGGGTTGTTCTGAAGGTACCTGAAAAGGAAATTGGATTAGAGGTGGTCTTAGTGACCTGGGAGCGTGACTGCAGGGCCCAAGGGACAACTGCTTAAGGTCGGTCACACACGACGTTTTTATGGGTAATTTTTGTGTTAGCCCCGTACTTGTTAAGACCTTACCTCCGGAGACAGATATCCGTGGGATAAGGTGAGGTGTGCATTTTTAGGGTCGACCTTTTCTAACCCCACCCCTCCTTTTGGGAAGGCAGCATCGCTGTCATGCTGGTTATCTGAAGGAAATACCTTACTGCTGTCACACCTCTGTACAGTCAGCAGTACAACTTCGCCTTCGGACCTTGGGTTTGTTGCTTTTAGTCTTACCGCTCTTCAACCGACCTGTCTGACATGGCAGGACCTTGAGGAACGGTTGTTCCAGCCAGTACAGCTCGGTTGTTTCATCACGATAGGCAAGCCCGACCACCGCGTCAAGGTAGTAACGGCCGAGTTGCGTATACATCGTAATTTTTAGTTTCTGTTCGGTATGTTCCTTCGAGTATATTACTGCATGGATTTCGAGTCATGATTGGATAGAGTACGACAGAGAATTAATCGGCTTGATACCTCCATTTTCTGATTGGTGAACGGATGGGAAGATGCTCGAGGACTAACGGCCATTAGGGTCTTGATTGTTACTAAATGAACCCCGTGTCATTCGGTAAATAAAAGGTCACCAATGTTACAAATAATTTAGACAAATTACTCAGTAATAGGACTATAAAATACACATATTCTCATAATAAAGGCACAATCATGTGGACCTTTGTGCAAATGAAGAACCTGTTTATTTGACTTTTATAACATAGATGCACTCGAAAAAACGATTATACACAAAAAAAGCCTACCGAGGTAAAAAAGCCCATGTATAATATTTTAATAATTTCGGTCCATTTGTCACTTGAGTAATAAGCAGTGGTAGAATCACTTCAAGCGGTAAAAGTAGGACCCCAATGAAAACAAGTTGCTCTCTTGGTAGACCTTGTTCGATTAGCTTTAGTCCAGATATCGCATCTGCAGGACAGAAGCAAACCTAATTATAAAAATACAAATAAACACCTTGAATTAGGTCTAAAATCATATAAATAACAATGTACACAAACGGGCAAAAGTACACCGACAACTAATGTCTGAAATACTAAGTTTTTGTAAATTAAACATTTGGTACAGATGCGAAAAAAAACATTAGTTGCTCAATTATTCATTTTTAAAATGTGTTGGTGGCAATATCTACAAACCTGATACTTAAGGTGAAAAAAAACTGCTACATGGACAGTTTCTCAAATGAGTTTAAGCGACGTCCTATAAGTTTTGTCAGATAACAAACAGATTTCCATTTATTCCTATTAGCGTTTATGGCATGTACATTTGATGATTATTTTGTGGAGTATTTACTGAGATATTAAGTCATCATTGTTTAACATTCGATATGTGTCTAAATTAAGTCGGAGGTAAAGCTAATGATTACAGTGCTCTAAGAAATGTCGTCAACCGAGAGTGTGAACGCTGCAAGATGTTAGCTTCAAATTTAATGAGTTCTATAGATAGACCGAGGGTGTAGCGATAGGGTTACCACTTGGTCCACTTCTAGCTAGCTGTTTTTATTGCCAATCTCGAAATCATTATCTTGCAACTAATAATTGACAGTCTCTTCCCATAAAAAAGACATTTAGACGATACTTTTATTATTTGTGACAAAAATATTAGTTTTAACGACGTCATGGACACGTATAATAATTTCTATCAATCACTTAAGTTCGTGATGGAATCGAAGTCATATCTAAAGGAAAAGCTCCCGCTTTAGGCTAACAGTTTACTCGCTCACATAGAACAGGTTATATTGCCCGCTCGTTCAAAGCGCATCTAACATCATCTTACCTGGCTATATAAAAGATTGCGAAAGTCAATCAAAAGCTCAGTTTTGGGACGTCTAGTTAATTTTGGACATTCTGCTTCACCAAAACAGTTTTTCAAAATCATTCATACATACAAATATACAGCAGAGGCTATAACTAACTATCCAATAATTCAACACTAACCTATGTGTATAGAAACAGTATGTTCCATCCTTCAATCCTATGATGGCTTTAATCATCATTTCTATCACAATCTATAGTTTTTCTTCTACTTCCTTCCAGTACTTTTCATAACTATTAATTATTTATTATTAAGAATTTTAATTCGCTGTTGGATTATTGAATAGCTTCCCTTCTATATCTGATTTTTGTAAACAATTTACGACACGATGCCAATTCAATTTTTTAACATTCTATTGCAATACGGACTGTCGTTTCTAGCAAACGAATTATCGATAAATACGATTATAAAGTCTAAGTAAGTGAAATTTTCAAAAACAAAATTTTCTTCGCTCAATCGTCTTTACTCTTCTTCGAAGACACAGGGCGCTTTCGTTATTTACGAAAGTTTATAGTAGATACACTGAATCCTAGATCATAATAACTGCTTGTGACATTTGGAATGCTTTTTCCGGTACTGCTGTGATGTGTAGTAAGCTGAGCTAGTATGGAGTATTAACGTAAAAAGAAAGAATTAGTAAATAAATCTTTTTCCAACATAGGACAGAAATCAGTACTACAAGATAAAATTCTTTGATTTGTTGACCTCGAATTTCGTGGGACAAGATCAAATACAAATATATATAATTACTTACCTTGGCAATGAATAATAACAATATGTATTGTAAAATAGGCTTCAATTTACAAATACCTAACATAAAACGATAGGTATCAAATAATGACAACTCTTTGTTTGACTCAGTTACATTCAGTTCTTCATCGGGAGGAATTTCAATAATACGACTCCAACCACTGGGAGTACGTGAACGACTTCGAGTGGATTCACAACTAATTTGTTTATCAATTGTATTTGTTTGTGCGATACGATTTCTAGACGATAACTGTCCTTCGATATTTCCTGTTTGATTTAAATAGGCTACCGAACCATTTGAATGATTATCAAGTTGATTAGAATGAGCAGATGATATAACGGACAGATTATGAGGTACTTCCTTCTTAAAAACTCCAACAAGTGTGGTTGCCACCAGGAATACAATACCCCAAAAATAAAGAAAACCTATTTTAAGAAATAATACAATACACATAAGCACGGTTTACTGTGATCCCAGGTAAATAGAATGAAGTTAAATTTTAAAGTAAAATGCATCATTTTTTTATGAAAACTCATTAACTAAAATCAAAATAAAACAACTGAGTTTATAAATTGAATCAAAGCAACTAATCTAAGCAACAGGATGATTATTTTCATTCGAGTTTTAACAAAAGAAACAAATGTGTCACACTATCGAATTTCATCAAACTAGCATAACGACAAACTATGCATCTATTTTGAGATCTGTGATGTAATCAAGCAGATATAAGTTAGTAGGATTATTTTAGTTTAAAGAAATCTTGACTTGCACTAAACTTTTTTGAATCAACAGCTCATAGCGATAAAACTGTAGTGTCGGTTACTATGTTAAGCTCAGATAACTTATTCTAGCTTCTGGACAGATTAATTTATTCATTCTTCTTGATCCACGTTTTGAACTTGTCAACCTTGACCGCTTTTAAATGAGCGTGTGTGCATTTCTTATTCTACACAACATGTTTGTAACCTATTTTTCTGTGACTATAAATATCGATTCACACTTGATTAAATCGATTTGGCTTACTTCTCTTCTCCATTGAGCGTCATTTTGTTTTGCTTCGCTTTCCAATCGACGATTATACGAAATATACGTATTCAAATATGCATTTCCGTATTTGACTTATTTGATTCGCTTATTCACCGACGCGACTTAATCCGATGATTATATACGAGGATTGGCGACATATATATTTTAATAACAATCACTCAAACGATCTAGTTTGGGTTAGATACCAAGCCACTAAAAAACAACTTATAAACTGCTCACATAAAGTATCTGGCTGGTATGGGCAAATTTTATGGTCGAATAGTTATTTATAGAGTAAAACTTCAAGCCCAATAATGTGTATCGTAGGATTTTTTTAATTTAGTTGATAAAACTTATAGAATGGTTTTAATGGTATGACACTAATTAATCAATATGCATCAACATTCGTCAGATAAAAATAAATAAGTATTAAACTAAATCTAACCTGAAAAAGTAATCAGCCCTTCACCTTCAACAGGAGTCAATCGTATATACTTATTAGAAATATCTGGTGATTCTAAACACATGAGGACGACAAACGCAATTAAATGACCCAATGTTTGACCAACTGTATTACATGTGGAAGCCCATCCTAAGTTTTTCCTAAAATAGGAGAAGCAGAATTAAGCAAAAAATTCAAGTCGCAATTAGAAAGTTTGATATATGCAATATAAAACAATATTTATTTTCAGGGATCTAATAAAAACAACCATATGAATTAAGATTGACTACCAAAGGGACAGTTAAAAGTTATAAGTACGCTACATTAGCCGTCACCCGGAAACACGTAGAGAGTATTGGGACGAGGAATTCGAGATCTCACAGTGAGCACAACGCAGTTTACCTACTTTGTCAGAATTTTTATTTACAAACTCCCCATCTATTGGATACTACAGGTATGTACATTTTGTCGCTGCAAACAGATAAACTATAAATCACAACTTAGCACTAAAGCTCCATCGCTGAATATTAAATTTTTAGTCAGGGAAATCGATTATGAACATAGTGGTCTCAAGTGGTGTTAGAGGTATGAGCGCAGTTATCACTTCCCGGTTGCACACACCAAGGGAGGGTTCTTCTAGAAGTGCCCGAAAAAGAAATTGGGTTAAAATCGTTTTTAGTGACTTGAGATCGTGACCGCGGTGCCCATAGTACAACTTCTTGAGGCCCGTCACACACAACCTTTTTGTGGGTAATTTTCATGTTAGCTCCGTACTTGTCTAGACCCTATCGTCGGAGAAGAATATCCGTGGGATGAGGCGAGATGTGCATTTTCAGAGTCCACCTTCTCTAATCCAACCTTTTCATTGTAGGAAGGCAGCATCGCTGTTATGCTAGTTGTCTGAGGGAAGCACCTTACTGCCACCACACCTCTGTAGAGTCAGCAGTAGGACTTCACCCTCGGACCTTAGGTTCACTTCTTTTAGTCTTGCTCCTCTCCAATCGACCTGTCCGGTATGTTAGGAACTTGAGTAATGATTGTTCCAACCAATATAGCCCGATTGGTTTATCACGATGTGCAAGCCCGACCACCACGTGAAGGTGGCAGCAACGGTCGGGATTAAATTTTTAAGTAAGATTACATCGAGATGTCGAAAAGATGGAGAATGACATTTATTACTAACCATTTATAACGTGGAAGAAAACCATCAAGTTTGCTAATTAGGTCCTAAACTTATTGACTTACGAGTGATCTACGAAATTCGCGCTTTAAGAACGAATACGCTTTAAATTATTTGTAATTAAGAATAATTCTGTTTGGTACTTCATAAATATGTATGTTATTTTAATAGAAAAAAACTGTTTCTTAGCTTGTTGTTACAAATCTTTATATTAGCTATTTGTGCCGATAGCTTAGTCACATAAGTTGTTACTTCACCATATTACAAAATAAAGTTATTAAATGATTAGCATTTTATTTCAAAAATCGGCAACTAAGATATAGCCATAATCAAAATCTGTTCACAACGCTTAACTAATACAAGTGTGAATTAATGTAAACTCTTTGGACAGATAGCTGTGTATCTTTCTCAGACTTCAGTTGAATAGTTCATTAATTTCTTTTAGAATTAAATATTACAACTATTTACATAGCTAATCACATATCAGTGACTTTAGACTCGATCGGCTTCAAGTATAATTTCGACCATGCAAGCGATCATTGGTGAAAAGTAGCTGGCAGTTTTCAAAAATTCCTATGTCAATAAATGTGAAATTTATATTCCCTAATATACACAAATACTGGTTAACTGGAAACCGAAATAAATAGGCGTAGCACAAATAAGGGATTAAAATTGTGAACAGGTAGGAGTATAATCTAGAACAAAGAGCTAGAGAGAAATAAGTGAACGAGAGTATTTGTCCCTTTGCTACAATGCAATTAGAGTCAATATTTAACTCAATATCGAAACACTCTTATTGGATATTATGTACTCTCTCAACCGTATGACCAATATGTTTTATGTAGGATACATGGAATGTGTCTAGCAGTGGAAACCAAGACGTTCGTTTCTTCCTATTTGAGACTGGTCAATTGCATGTAACTGGATCCAAGAGCTAATACTCACTTCAGGACTCAAACGCCACTGCGTTATCCACTTAGCTGCTGAATCCAGATAACCACCCACTAGTGCAATGGGTATGAGTTTTAATTTAGTTTGAAATGAATTGGATTAGTCTGTTACTGAAATCCGACTGACAAGTCCCGAATAGGACGGAACACACATCCTGGGTTTCCCTGCTAGTCATATTCCATCCATTCTATACTACATTGTGCTCTAATGGCAATCTGCACAGGATGCCCACATCCCAACCAAGGTTGATCAAATTTCGGGATAATTCAGGTCATTTCAAATCAATGTCTCATTTGTTTTACAAATGATCACACTGATTATTATGATTACCTTATTTTCTTTTTTTTCTAATTATATATATTTTAGTATACCCTTATAATGAAAAAATAATTGAAAATAAATTTTTCTCAGCTCTGTTACCTTCTCGCTAAATGTCTAAACAGGAACTTTAACTCCACAAAAATAAATATAATCCAACAGCTATTTTGATCGCTTCTTTCTCATAGATATGTCATACAATAAACTCACCTAGACAACATTGTAAGTGCCCATCCATCTACTACAATATCTTGTGTAGCTGCAAGAAAAGTAAGTCCAAAGAAAGCTACAGTCAAGCGTGAGATATCCACTGGATGCACTACACCTAATGGGCCCCATGGGTTATCAGGTGTACGCCCCAACCACTGGTTAACATAGAGCGCGATAATAAGTAGGTTAATTCCAAGAGCATATTGAACGGGAATAAGCCAAGTCTTTCGTCTTCCTATACGTGAACTGTACAACGAGTCTACTATTGGAGCCCAAGCTAATTTAAGTGAAAATGGCCAAAATGCAAACGAGAAAGCTGCTTGTGATTGGTAATTAGCCGATTTTGGATCTGATTGTAATAAGTAAGGGACTGCAGACGACAGTCCAAGAGGAATGCCCTAAAAATGAGATAAATCGCACCAAAAAGATATTTGATTAGTTCTAAAATCTATATCAGATGATCAGTTAAAACCAATGACATGGGAAATATTGACTATAAAAATGTAAAGGCAAGCAAACACTAACAGTTCGTTGCTGAAATTTAAGGTACTACAACGTCAGTCTCGACCCTTCTACAGACCAGATATGAAGAATGGAGGTAGCTACAAGGCCGCACAAGCTATTAGTAAATTCAAAAGCCAACATGGTATCTCATTTAGACCTTAAAAATACTTTGAAACTTCCCTGTACACGCTTTATGAACTTAGAAGTGAATATGTTTAGGCAAATGGGAAACAGGTTTCAACGACTTTGGTCAGAATATATCTATATACTTTGAATTGTCTAGTTCAGTTTAGTGACGCTTAGGAAACGCTTAAAAACAAAATAAGTGATGCGCTTAGCTAACCGAACACTATGATAGTATATGAAATCCGATGACCCGAAATAGTGACTTATGGAACATGTTTACGGAGAAGTTAAGCAGAACTAAAATGTGTTAACTGACACACTAATTCCGGACATTTACAGCAAACTATTCTTCGTTTGGGTTAATTTTTCGGTCGACGGACGTTAATTGTCAAGCGGATTGGACAAAAACTGTTTGCTGACAAATATGAAACTTGAGGGCCTAATAGACTACAGAAACAGGACAAAAATACACTGATTTGTCTGAATCATATGAGCACTGGGGCAACGTAATCTGATGCACCCCTGAATGACTTATCGAGAGCTTACCGATTGTACAGTTTTGAGTCTTTTCTGTGCATAAACTAATGGAGACTTATATACACGCTCTAAAATCGAAATGATTACTTCGAATTTGATCTGTGCTGCTACAGTGTGCTTAAAGTATAATCCTAAAACCCTTGATAGTTGGCCTTTTAGTGTTTTGTTAATAACGGCGATTCCGTTTAGTAGAGTAATTGGCTTCAGAAATTATAAGAAATTAGTTGAGACCACGTATGTTGGAAGTTATATTTCGATCAAAAAAATCTAAAAAATTACACTTAAACCTTAATCTACATAATAATCAATATTTGGAATACTCGAGTATGCTAAGAACGTTTTAAATAATCAAAAAACCCACTTGCAAAATGTAGAGGAATATGAGAAGACAAATATTACAAAAGTCTGAAGGTTCTTTATCAAATTTTCCGTCAATATAACCTTGATTTGCAGATGGGTCAGTTATAACAAGTGATTTCTTCTTGGCCATTTTCAAAAGACAATTAATCGACGACTTCGATCTAAGTATTTCTTGTGTTACTTAAAAGGTCGCGGTACAAATATGAAACCTAGTTTTCGAGAGGATTGACATCAACCTCAAAGACGCTGAGGTGTAAGATCAGAGATACTCCACTCGATGGGGATGGAAGGCTAAAATAGAAAACATGGTAGTAGAACATCAGTTGGTAGTGGACAAATCGGAAGTTAAGAAAATTAAGCAATAAGGAATATGGAGAGCTTGAGGTTTTACACTAATTTTACCGCTACTCTTGATGAACAGTCATTCTCCTAGAACTGATGAGTAAGTTAGCGGAATATTTGTTGTGCGTTGGCTTGACATTAAGTAAGATCCCACCCCCAAAACCAAAACGAGTTAAGGGCGAGACTCTAATTTAGGGACGAGCCAATCAGAAGCGTTTGAGCAATTTTAAGGTCACGGAGCCAAGTTCAACACGCGCTCCTAACATACGATCGGTTCACAGCGGATTTTAGAGAGTAGGTGATTAATGAGAGGTTACAACAGATAGGACGGCGAGACTCTAATTTAGGGACGAGCCAATCAGAAGCGTTTGAGCGATTTCAATTATTAGTCAATCAGAAGACAGCATAAAGTAAAAATATATTAAAAGAAAGTAATAAATTACAGTGGATATTCTTCTTTAACATGATTTAAAAACTCGTATGTTAGCATCCTAACCCTAACCTTAACCCTCACCTAACCCTAACCCTCGCCTAACTCTAACCCTAAACCCTCACCTAACCCTAAAAATAACCCTCAACTAACCCTAACCCTCACCTAACCCTAACCCTAAACCCTCACCTAACTCTAAACCCTCACCTAACCCTAACCCTAAACCTTAACCCTCAACTAACCCTAAACTCTAACCTTAACCCTAAACCCTCAACTAACCCTAAACTCTAACCTTAACCCTAAACCCTCACCTAACCCTAAACCTTAACCCTAAACCCTCACCTAACCCAAAACCTAACCTTAAACCCTCACCTAACCCTAACCCTCAACTAACCCTAAACTCTAACCTTAACCCTAAACCCTCACCTAACCCTAAACCTTAACTCTCAACTAACCCTAACCCTAACCTTACACGTAAACCTAACACTAACCCAATAGACGAGTTTCTATTCCATATGAATTGTGAATTCAGAACCTCTGAACCTTAATCAAACCTTAACAAGTTTTTAAATCATGTAAAAGAAGAATATCGATTGTAATTCATTACTTTCATATAATATATTTTCACTTTATACTAACTTTCTTCTGATTGGCTAATAATTGTCAAGGTCACTTAAGATTCGTTCAAAGGTCGTCCTTAAACTAGAGTCTCGTCAAGATGAAGAGAATCCGCTCTATCTCGAAATGTTCTTACATGGTCATGTGTTTATGCCCACTACCACAGAAGCCGAAATCGATACTTACATGCAGCAGAGGCGTTGTTTACAGAAATAAGGGGACGAAAATCGAATGTCGGGCGTTTACACCGGGTTAGTAGAGTACGGAGACGTTGGAATACCTTGATTTCTAGTCAATAGTGCTCATGGACTCTAGGGTCATGAAGGAAAAATGGCATGTATATTTAATTTTAGCCATTAGCTGCCACAAGACGATACTTCCGAACGTTGCTCCACTGCCTTATGGACTGGACCTCTAAGTCGAAACTCGACAGGCGGTCTTTGTAAGAAAGCCACACGTTTTAGTTAGGGAGGTTACGTAGTATTCCATATGACTCACAAATATGACAACCGAAAATTGTGAAATGATATTTGGATCTGCTTCCTTATTGGCAAAAATGATAATTGACCTAGATTTGATTTAAATGTATTTTTGAGCCAAAAAACAAAGAATAAAAAGCTGAGCACAATAATACAAATTCACCGTCTTTCCAGGTTTTCATTAACTGACAAACAAACCTTGTGGTACGTACCACAAAGTAATCAGTGGTACAATGTACATTATACCACTGATACGCTGCTTATGTAGTTCCACATGACGACATAATACACCCTCCACACAGGAAGGACTGATGCTAAAAATCTTAATAACCCAAGAGAAAATACTCACATCAACAGTCTGACAAATCGGATGAGATAGGTGGTACGAAAAGGGCGGCAACAACGCGAACGAAGAACAGTAGAGACCAGCTCAAATCTCCCACTTTCGTTAAGACAACCTTGAGCACAGTTTTAGTGTTGAAGGAACACATGTTTGTCTTGCTTGATTTGACAATGATGGTCTCTCAAATGATCCAATTTTTATTAGAATGCGTCGAAACACTGACCTTATACTGGCACTTCGTATCTTTAATTATGAGTTGGGTGTTAATATGTCTTATCTTTTTGCTCCCTCCAGCACTAATAATCTCCGCGGTCATAAACCAAGATCTAATAAACTTAAAAGGGAGTCCCGTTTTTCTCATCGAGTAGTCAATCATAAGAACGCCTTACCCGAACAAGTGGTGTCAGCCCCATCAGTGAATACTTTCAAGGAGACCCTGGACCTTCACTGGAAAGCAGTGTGTCAGGATTAACACAGGCTCATCAACATTCTATCCTTATTACTGAAGACTAATTTATTCATGTATCGAAGTAACGAGTTTCATTCACAGAGGAGGACTTTGTGGGACGACTTTGGTAAGGCTCAAGTGTTCCCGAACTTCCTGCCAGTGCATACAATCCCCCCACACATACACTGGATAGCGTGACCGTTAAAGAACTCGATGTCTTTGGTCTGCTAAATAGGCTTGACATGGGTAAGTCCACGGGGCCGATGAATTGCATCCTAGGCTACCGACGGAATTATCTAACTTCGTTGAGAACCCTTTAAGTATATGCTTTAAATTATCCGTAACGCAAGATAGTTTACCAAAAGACTGGAAGAACGCCATAGTAAGTCCCGTCTTCAAAACAGATACGAAACATAAACCTGACAATTACCGACCCTTTAGCCTGACTAGAGTGGTTGTTAAAATCTTAGAAAAGATTATTCGGAAGGAGCTGTTTAAGTGCCCCGATGATAACCGAATTCTTTCGGAGAAGCAGCACGGTTTTAGAGTAGTTTATTCTTGTCTCATTAACTTATTAGTCGCTAGTGAATGCTGGTGCGCTATTAAGGACCAAAAGTTATCTGTAGACGCAGCCTACATTGATTTCAGCAAAGCTTTTGACAAAGTTCCGCATAACCTGCTGTTATATAAGCTAAGAAATGTCGGAATTGGAGGCAATCTATTGATGTGTATAAAACACTTCCTAGTTGGGCGCCAACGAAGAGCACAGATAAACTCAAAGTTATCTAGCTAGGAAACTTTGCTTAATGGAGTGCCCCAGGGTACAGTTTTTGGGCCAGTGCTATTTCTCTTGTATGTAAATGACCTTCCTTGTCTCCTATCATCATCGGTCTTGCTATATGCTGACGATGTCAAGATATGGAGAACGATACGATGTGAGGGTGATAGCTAAGAACTCCAAACTGACCTGGAGAAATTATCTGAATGGTCTCAAACCTGACAGATGCTGATAAATACTTCCAAGTTTGTTGTGATGAATATCGATCATCAAGGTACAGATACATACACGATGAATAACACTGAGCTACCTGTCGTCCAGACACATAATGACTTAGGAGTCATCGTTAGCCAAGACTTAAAGACTACTACACACTGCCGTGCAATAGCTGCCAAAGGTTTTAGAACCTTATGGTCAATATGTAGGGCTTTTAGTCATGTCGATGCTAAAACGGCCACTATTGTCAGGACTAACACAGACCATCAAGCCTCCTGTCCTCTTCGAACTGAAACTGAAACTGAAGATCATTTCATGGAAAAGTTGGCAGTCAGGTGACAAATAATTTGTCCTGGATTACTGAACGTTTCTAAAATTTTCCCGCATAACCTCTGTTTTTGGAAACTTGAAAAAAGAGAGAACGTGGCATTAAAATTTGTAAATGAGTAATTTAAGAACTGTAATCAAGTCACTTTTGATAATTCTGTATGACAAAGAAATTAGTTTGAATCTAGACTCTCTGTCACCGAATAGAAAAATAATAAGCTTTCCAAATGTTTATCAAATGTGCATTTTACCTCCAGGTTTTTAAAGTATGAATATTGTACAGAAATGGGGACCATCTATGAGATGTCAGTCCTCATGGTAATTTGTATTTAGTTTCCATCATGATGTAGACTTGTATTGTTTATGGATGTTTTTTATATCTAATGTTTCTGTCATGTCATTACGCGTATGTCTGTTTATTCGATTCAGTTGTACTGACTAATCGAAATGTTTATTACACTTAATTCAGTTTCAGTCCTTGTGCGAGAAGGATACATACTTGTAGCTTCTTAGTACTCGAGGTCAGATCAAACAAATACTGACCGATGTGCATCATAACGCACTTGAAAGTAATTATCGGCAATTACCAAGTTCCAGAGCATCCAGATAGATTCTGTAAGTCAATTCGGAACTCCGAACTATCCCTTTTATTTCGTACCACTCTTCATATCTTGATATTACCAGTACCTGCCAAGACGAATGACGTCAAGGGACTAGGAAGGTCGTTTACGTGCAAGACGAATGATATTAGTCGCGAAACGTTTCTCTAGAGCACTCCACCGAGCACAGTTTCTCACTTAAACAACTTAGAGTCAACCCATAATCTTTTTTGGGATCCAACTAAAAAGTCGTATCCACAAAAGTGAGTTGCTTATTATCCTGATATCACCAAACTTGGATAACAACTTGTTGTGCGGAGCTTTGTTAAAAGCCTTACTGAAGTCAGTGAAGGCTACACCTACGGGTAGCTTTTGATCTTTTATAGCCCAGCAATCTCGTGCGACCACTAGACATGTGGTCGTGGGTAACCTATTCTAATACTTTCTGGTTTTCATCTAGATGCTTAAACAGTTACTTGAGAGTATTGTTTTCTAGAGTCTTGACAGCTACATTGGTTAAACTAGCAGGATGGTAGTTCTTGTGTTTACTCTTTGTAGTTGTTTTGAAGACAGGGCATACTATGGAGTTCATTATGTCTTTCCGTAGTTCAGCTTGAGTTACAGATAGACTAAAGCATGTACTCACAAGATTTGCAATGAGAGATGCATGTACCTTCAGTAACAGTGCCTCAGTTGTTAGGGCATTTGATTTTTGTTCGCTGAGTCCTAGGTTTGAGCTTCGTACCACCTCATTTCTTCGGAGAGCCAGGTAATCAATTATCCTTCACGCTTAGGCTGTGGTTCATACCCATTCATCTCATTGAGTCCTATGGATTTTTATTTGGCAGACCAAAGATATCGGGTTCTTTAGTGGCCTCAGTATCGAGCGTATGGACTGCAGGATTTACATATTTCTGGAAGAAAGGCGTCCCTGCTGTGTACATAATGATAAAGTAGTTCGACAATACGAGATTTAACACATTCGTTTCATACTGGTGATTTATTAGTGCTATCTTCATGCAACACTGGGATATCGCCCTCTCTCTTCCTCATTCGACTTATGTGAGAAAACAAGTTTGTTCGTTCTGTGGTATCCTTAACAAGCTTCTCTTCACACTCCCCTCTGGAAATACGTGGGGCTGAAACAATTATTTCTGGCTTTCCGATACCGAGACTTGGTTTCATCCTTACTTAGTAACATAAATCTCCTCTAAATTGTTTCTTACCAATTATACCTCAGGTCCATCTTTCAGCTTCTCGTTTTTGTGACATTTCTGTGGAATTATTTTCTATTTCGTATATATCTACTGCATTTTGGTTGGGGGTAATATAATATATTTAATGCGGAAAAATATGTGTTACATAAGGTTGACCTCGCCTGCATGTTTGAGCCTTGTCATGCCAATTGGTTGAATGTTACTGCGCTCTCCATTTTTTGTCTCTTAGTGTTACGTGTTTAAATTGAATGTGTGGCGTGGTGCTGAGTCGAGATTGAGTATGAACACCACTACAAAGGAACGCGTGCCAGGATATCCATAAAACCCCCTGGAAGCCAAATATCAGAAGGCAGTTAATGGAACAAGTCGAGATGTATTTGCTGGCGATCTCATGGTGTCGAAAGAATACCGAGATCGTACCAGGATACAAGCTTGGTTAGTGAGCGTAACCGGATTCGCGCGAGGTCAAAATCGAAGTAAGTATAATGGATGTTTTTAGTACAGTTAAATAAAGAGCACAGTAAAACAGTCACTGGTACAATTGTTTATAATAATCATTGTTCTCATTAAACCCATCGCGTTCTCGTGATAAAAGTAAGTCACTACAAATGTTCTCAATAATTATATGCTCAGCTTCGAAGATTGTGTGGTTAGAAACCAAAACCATTACAGCCTTATAACAATCATGAAATCCTAGCTCCATTTCTTTATCATATCACTTTATCCTGAGGTCAGCGTGCAACATATTTTGGAGTCTGAGTACTCCATTTATTCACTGTCCATTCATTAGTGATTAGTCGCTTTTATTGCAAAATCTAAATGCTGCTTTTTAGCAGACTGATTTTATTTGATTTAAAGTCTGTCTAGTTATCTAGTCTATGAAGCTTTAGCAAGGTGACCCTGAAGATATTTGGAGACACTAGCTAGTTTGGTTGACATTTTGGCAACTTATTGTCTCGCTCGAAGAGAGATCCGAGCTCTCACTATCCTTGAATTTTCTGAAGATATATGACCTGTCAGTGTGATCGTTCTCCGACTTTTGATCTACATTTGAAAGCCATACAGTAAGTTCTTTATTTGCAAAGTGTCAATCAATTGTCTTAGACTTGGCTGTTCCTACGTTTCCACACCAATCATTCTCTGTTCTCGTTCTCTTAATCTCGATCTTCTTAACGTTCTGTACCAGGCATTTCATTTTTGATTGATCCTCACCTGTGTTCTGCTTCGCTGCAATGCTATTTACAAAAAAGAGTATGAAAAATGAGTCAATACTTCGCAAAACAAACATGCTGGTTGTACAGACGTTGCTTGTAAAACTCAATGGTCGTGCGTTTGATAAGTCCAAAAGTAAGTCTACAATTATGAGAGAAGATTGGTAATTTTAAAATATGAAATATATTTCAAGATAATAGCGAATGATTGACCAATATAGCACTGAGAAGCATACGCTGTAAATGTTTCTAGCAGATATTTTAGATCCATGATAATGTAGAAACGAGCTGTAAAGAAACAAGATACACTACTT